ACGCGTAACATTAAATATTTCGATCGAATTGCACAGAGAGACCATCCCCCCAAAAAGCTCGCGTTGTTGAGCGGTACGTTGCCATGGGAGGACCTCAAACAGAGGGTGAAGCGAGCCTCTGACGAGCAGTTTCGAGGGTCGATTCCTCTTCCGTTCGGCCAGAGTCGCTGCATATGCAAAAGCCGTGTACGTCTAACGAGAAAGATCGATCACGTTCCATCCCCTCGGCCAACTGAAATCACTCACTCTCTCTTTCTCTCTCCGTTTCAACGATCAACGGAACGAAGCATCGAAAGGGAATGGGAGAGAGAGAGAGAGAGAGAGAGAGAGAGAGAGAGAGAGAGAGAGAGAGAGAAAACGAAAAAACTGAAAGCTCGAGAGCAATGGTAGATCGCGAAACGATAGAAGAGAGAGAGAGACCCTGACTAACCAGCAGAAACTGGCTGCTCCGCTTTTATTTCGCCGCGGAAACGCGGCTTTTCACGCGCGGACGCTGGAAAATCCCTCGCGCGATTCGTCTCGCGGCGGCGGCGGCGGCGGCGGCAGCGACGAATGAAAGAAATCCGCGCGCGCGTTCCACCGTGTCCATTGTTACTTCTAATAAAGCGTGCGCGGGCGCGCGCCTTTTCTGCGCTCGCGAAAGGAATAAACAACGGTAGGAGCAGCTGCGTGGACGACGGAAAGGCGAACGAACAGGCGCTGGTCCTCTCTTTTATGGGCTACCTTGCTCGAGAGAGCTCGAACCACGCAGCTTCGCGATGAAAGGTTATGCGAAAAAGCCAGACGCAAAGAGAGCGCGCGCTCTGGCTCCCTGCGCCTCCCCTCGTCGTCATCGTCGTACGGTTCTGTTTCACAAAACACGAACGCAGTCTCCACCGACCACCTACGCCGTAACAACGCCGTACAATTCCCGTCGTGCTAATGGGGCTACGGTAAGTCGCAAATTAACCCTGGCCAGTGTTAGTCTTTTTCAAGTACTGACCACACCACCCTCGTGGATCAGCAGAAGCTGGCCCCGACAAACGAAAACAGTCATGGTAGCGTGTACAGTGGCTTGCAGAAATATAAAAATAAAATATAATATAATCAAAATATAAAAATATAAAATATAATATAATAAAAATATAAAAATATAAAATATAATATAATAAAAATATAAAAATATAAAATATAATATAATAAAAATATAAAAATATAAAATATAATATAATAAAAATATAAAAATATAAAATATAATATAATAAAAATATAAAAATATAAAATATAATATAATAAAAATATAAAAATATAAAATATAATATAATAAAAATATAAAAATATATAATATAATCAAAATATAAAATACACATATAAAAATAAAATAAAATATAAAAATAATTCGTGAGAAATTTCGTGAGTCAAAATTTGGTTCCAATTCGACACACAATTAATGTTCCATTCTCGAGGAACAATAAATTTGAGCCACCATAAAATTATTAATATCGAGAAGATGGTACACACGTGGTGGTTTCAACGTAATTTTAAGGCAGTGTTTTGTATTTGTGGATATTTTTTTAATTTATTAGAAAATAGCAATGATGTTTCACTCTTCACAAGCATTCGAATATTTCAATTGATCTACGTAGCTTGTCTAAAATGGCGAATTAAGATACGAAAAGATTCACCGCTTTTTAATTATCGTTTCATCTCGAATTTATCATGAATTTCAATTACTCGTCGAAATTAAATTGAAAGACACCATCGATGACTAAATTGTACCAACAATAGAAGAGTTTCCAGAAACTTTCCAAAGTTTCTAAAGAACTTTGTAGATCTGAATCGAAAAATCTGAACGACTCACGTACAACACCATTCATACAAATTCTGTAGCAAAGTATTCAAGTTGCATTTTTGCGAGCCACTGTACGACTGCTCGTGCAGGTGGCGTTTTGCCGTCCATTTACTTACTCCAGAAGGCAGTTTCTACACACGCACCGGTTTCATTTTGCTTTCATTTCATTTTCTTCAATTCGTGTGTCAGTCGGTGCTCGAAATGGCAGGTAATTTGAAAGCCGAAATTAAGGCACGAAACACAACCGGCCATTACACGGCCCACGCATAACACGCGGGGTGGTCTCTCCCCGACCAGCGTGCAAATACATTCTATATAGATAAAAGCCGTTTTTCTACCACATAAATCACACGCTCGACGATTGCTACATTAATCCCCCACCCCCCCGTGCATGGATATTAATTTCACCCGCTAAACCCTATCAACCTGCCGACCTATAATCGCTCGTTACCTCGCGGATTTACACCGTGTAACCGTGTCATTTAATCAATTTCCAATCGATTTGCCACGGTGTCACGTGCACCGCGATCGCGCGTAAGAAAAAATACGAATTTCCCATGAGCGATGCGACAGGGGTTGATGTCATTGCGTTTTGTTTTCGTGACTGGCTGTTTCATCTGATTGAAATTGTCGGAATGCATCCGCGCGTTGCCGCATCGAAACTTCGCGTACACGTGGAATGTTGAAAACTGCCAACTAGGAGAAAAGGTTGGAAATTTTTCTGAACACGTACATTTAGATTCTTATGGAGGTGGTTTAAGAAAATAGGACCTAAAAAGAGATTAGCTAAAAAGAGATCGTTAAATACTGGATTATTTGGGGAGCGTTCCGAAGATTGAAAGACATATTTCGAAAATGACGGACTGTTTGGAGTAAAAGAAACTAAAGAGTTTTACAACGACACACGTTACTTCTCAATTTTCTTGAAAAAATTTTTCAATTGGACCATATACATATTTTCTTCGCCACAAATTGAAAGAATGTTAAATTCCAAATAAAAAAAAAACAGTGTCGAACCACATTGGTCCTAAGCCTAGTAATTAAGGAGATATTTTACAATAATTTATCTCGAGGATGAAAACTATAGTATCGTTAGGTTCGACAATGTTAGAAAATGTATTGTGGCTGTGTAAAAATGAGGTGTGCAAGTTACGTGACTATATATATATATATATATTTATATAATTTATATAATATATTTTATATATTTATATAATTTATATAATATATTTTATATATTTATATAATTTATATAATATATAATTTTACCTAATATTTATATAATTTATATAATATATAATTTTATCTAATATTTATAATTTAATATATTTATATAATTTATATAATTTTATCTAATATTTATAATTTAACATATAATATATCGTTTAATATATTTTATCGAATATTTATATTATTTATTATTTATTAAGTATATTATTTATATACACATATATTTGTGTGCGCATGCGCGGCATGCAGATACAACGACATCGAGATTTCGGTGCAATATAACGACTCGCGCGAGCGTGTAGGACAAACAAGGGGTGCACGAATCCCAGCACGGGGGTGGTATTGATTTCCCCTCGTATTTGGGGTAGGACGACAGTGTTACGACATGGTCGGACAAACCGAAAGATTCGTCACACGGTGGACGCAAACGGAAAGCACAAACGAATCTCGCGTGCTTCGACGAGGGACTCAGGGTGAAGAGGTTGTTATCAACGGAATACGTTTAAGGGCCGTGTGCTTTGATGTTACGTCTTGCTTGAATAATTTGTAAATAAATTCCGAGTAAAGGGCGGACCGAACTGCACGCGAAACAACGACTTCTTCAACGAATCTCGAACGTTGTTCGAACAATTTGTAAATAAACTCCGAGTAGAGGGTGAATTAAACTGCACGCGAAACAACGACTTCTTCAACGCGGAATCGAACGAATCGAGGATGAGTGAGAGAAATTCTTCAAGTTGAAAGTTACGTGCATGTGTGTACAAATTACGAGCAAACGGCAAACAGAGGCTTCTTTTTAACGTAATCGAACGAACGTGCGATAAGAATTCTGATTATCGAAATTTATGCGTCATCGGGGGACAATATTAACCGTGTGTCACGGCTGAAGTGACTATGCAACGTCAAATAAAAACGGTACGATTTACATTGTCGTCGCGTTAAGTAACGAGAGGATTATTCAATATTCGAGCGATATATTACGTAAAACAATCTAATCCTTTCTTATAAGATATTTATGTAAACATTCTATTTATATATATATTATATAAACGGAGAAAGCGGAGCAGATATAATATTGCAGTCCAATACATAATTATGTAACTGGATAAAAATTTCATTTAATTTCATTTAAATTTCACTTACTGGATTGAATTTCATGTAAATTTAAATGAAAATACTTTTTTGTCAGGGACAAAGGATAGGACACATTATATATTTCTTCGTGTTTTGGTATGATAACTGCAATAAATGTATCCAGCTGTACTTATCAATTTTTACACCTTTTTTTTCAGATAAATATACATTTCCTGCCAACATTTTAATTTCACCAGTAGTACAAATAAAAACACTGTAGAAAGATATTTATCACTGTATATATAAATAAACTTCGTTTATGTTATGTATTAGGTAAAATTTAATAAATTAAGGATATTTTTTTATCCCTGACAAAATGATGCGTACAACGCGAAAAATAAGCATAATATACTCAAAGTGAAGGTAATATCAAGCCATCTAAAGCTCCAAAAGCTCAAATTTATCAAATCTTTGGAACACTTCTTAGCCAACTACTACAACGCAGTGTCGAATAGTTTTCGCATAAGTAACGCGCGATTCGTATTTGGATTAACTGCAAATATTCCCTGCCGCCACTGTGTAGAAATGAAAAGGAAAGCGAAGGATTTCCTGCAGAGACTTAAAGCAAGAAGAGATCTTGTCGGCAGTCACCGTGACCTTGCTCTATCGCGCACCTTCCGCTTTAAGGAATCCCCGTATAGCTCCTCCACGCTTTCCCGCTCTAGCGGGGTTACTATTTCAAACTTTCCCCGGTCATGGTTGACGTGCGAGAACCCGGTGTCTCCGAGCGCGAAACACAATAAAAAAAAAAAAAAAACACGCGCGTATCAAATATTTCGTTCGAGCTAAAAAAAAAAAAAAAGACTGGTCTCTTACCTTAATGTGATAGGAGTTCAGTTTGGTGCGAGGCAGGCTGTTGAACGCGCTGAAGTCCAAACGACGAGAGAAGATCCCGTTTGCACCGCAACTTTGCCTGCAACAGAATGTAGAAAAAACACACGTTTAGTGGCGTGTGAAAATCACTTTCCCATGTGTTTTTCCGATGCACGTGTGTACATGGCTCGCTCAAATATTGTAAACGTATACTTACATGTACCATGCATGTAAAGAATTTGAAATTTCAAAAAAAAAATAACAATTTATATTTTTATTCGGCTAAAAGTTATTTTCCTACAGTTAAATTGTAATTATAATATTCTTACTTTTTAAAAAAAATGTACGAAAAAGGTTGTTCCGTACAATGTGCTAAAAAAAAAAAAAAGAAAAGTAAGCAGGAGTATGTGCGTGTGAATTCATTTCACAAAATATTTTTTAATCATATTACGAACAAGGCATATTGTGAGATTTAATATAACAGTGCTTTAAGTTATTTAATTAAAATTATTTGTATTATTATAATTATTATATATTATAATTATATTATTGTAATTATTATACATTATAATTATAATTTTATTATCTACCTAAAATTATTTTAGTTTCATAAACTAGTTAACATAAATAATACATTGTGTTAATAGCATATAAGATCATAAACTTCGTAAAAACTGTTAATGATATTTAGTACACTTTTCCGCAAAAAATTCAAACTGTGCAACGCACACCGTCAAACTTCCAGTATCTCTCAGATCCACAACGACGTACGACGAAATTTCTCGGAGTGCTTCCTCCACAGGGTTTAAAAAAAAAAAAAAAAATTGCGTTTTCGCATGATACATAATAATTCCTTTCCTCCCTTTGCTTGATAACCCTCGGTGTGTCGCGTAACGGGAGGGTGGCTTTTTGAACCCGTGCGTTTATCCTCGCTAGCCGATGAAAACAAGTTCGCAGAGGACACGTACCGCACGTGTTCTGCCACTTGTCGTCGAGTTTCGCGTTCCATCCACCGAACACGCATGTATATATACATATATACGTGGCAATGTACATACATTCGTATCACATACCAGAGAGGGGGAAAAAGAAGTCGCGGAATATAAACCCGGCCGAATGGAAGGAAAATTTGTCCCCGAACGAGCGCAAAGCGGCTCCCAACCAACCCCCGATCTCCGCCAACTGCGCGATCGACGCGTAAAACTTTGAAACGCCGCGGCAGGGAGGAGAAAACTGAATTCGCGTGCTCGAAATTGCCCTCTCGCTAAAATTCAGAGGCGGCGAACTTCTTCCCCCGCATGCGTGGCACGGAGCTACTCGCTCACAATTAGTCTGCATGGTTCCACCGCCATGAAAATTAATTGTCACACTCTGTTCTGCAGCGGACCAGTACAAACTACTATCCTTATATCTTTCTTTAACTTAAAAGGTTGCAGAGTAAAGAGAACAATTTATACGTATGCATGGTTCGAATTACGTGGATTCGTTTTATGCGAATGAAAATCGCGTAAATAGAAAATATTTGGAAAGAGAAGCTGGTACAAGTTTTATAAATACATATTTATTTCACATAGGTTAACAAAAAAAAAAAAAAAAAAAACAATGACATTTCAGAAAACGAAAGTAAATTTTATTCAATGTCACTATCGCTGTTGTGATTCAAAACAATCAATCTTTTCTTTTTGGTAGAATTTTCAACTGGCAGAAACTCATTATTCTCATCGGTTGAATTATATGCAAGTTCGACTTCGTTAACATTAACTTCGTTCGGATGATTCGCTCTCGTACTTATCTTCTGCCAAGTTTTCATAAATTGCTAGATATTCGTTGCAACGTTTCTTTAAATCTTGTTGAAATTTCAAGGCTCGTTACAACTATTTGGATCAATGTCTGCAATATATAATATTTCCTGGTGCCACGTATAAAAAGTACCGCGTAAATAGTGTTATAATTAAAGTAATAAAAGACGTTATTCGCGTAAATGGAGGAACGGGTATATACCTAATGCAAGCGTTGCGCCCGCGCCACTGTCGACGCAGTGGAGGGGATAGCGCTAGCGATCAGGAGAGGGGCAAGGGCCGCCAGTTAGCCACCTCTGGCGCTAGATAATTCCTGCAACGTTGGAAGGCGAGGAGGAACAAACACTCGACGATCGCGCACGAGGATTCGATTCGGCGGGCAAAGAACAAGCCGCTGCGTGGAACAACACCTATACAGCAGAGCATGTATCTGCGTTTCACACTCGGCTGAGCCCGATGTCTGATTCGACCGCGAGACCGTCTGCCACTGACGTCGAACACCAATAACGGGTAACTTCTGCCGACTAAATTCCACAATGGAAGCACGGAGGGGGAGTGGTACAGGCCAAGTTCTGTTACTTCGAAAACGAAATCAATGGCGAGGAAACTCCGCGAAGTTGCCAGACGAGAAACGTTGTCGCGATACGCGCGCACGTGTTCGGTTCTACGGTATCCGTCTGCTTTCGGTCCGTTTGCACTCTACGTTCCCGGATATCTGTGCATATATTGATAGAACGTACGTATTTTATCGTGGAGATTTACAAAACGAAGTGCTTATTTTATCGGGAAGCGTTAGAGAATCGCATAAACGACCAAACGATATTGTTCGCAGTATTTTTCCACGTAAATACAACAGTTTCTCTAAACGAAACTCAAGGCTCTTCTGTCGTGTAATTTCTAATGGACCGACTCTGTTGTGTATTGGGAAAATAATTAAAACGTAAATTTGCATAAGCATTCGCGGTCTGATGAATAGTCGCAGTATTCGTTTTTCATTACCACAGTTGGAAGGAAGCTCCGTTAAAAGACTCGATTCGTAAACTGAATTTTTATTACTTTAAACATTTAGGAGTTTGAATACAGCCTGACGCGAACGCAACATTTGTGAATCGCGTATACAGAAACTATAGACGGGACGTGCTTCGTCAAGTCACTAAATAAAAATCGCCTGTAACATTCAAGGATTGCCTGAATTAAAAAATTATTTTCTTCATTAATGATAAGGCAAAAAATTTATGGTGTGGCAACATTACACTTCGAAATTAGTATTTTCCTATAATATTCTACATTCCAATATCGAGAAGCGATGAAAGCGATGAAAGGTAGATTAACATTTTACTGAAAATTCCAAAAATATATATCAAATATTTCGTGACTCGTGGTTTTATATTAATTGTAATAAAATCATTCCGTCGTGCGTATAAAAATTTAAAAATATATAATTGATATACAATTAAAAATATAATTACCCTGAAGATTATTATTCTCTGTTTATTTCCACTGAATAAACGTGTTATTGTGTTTCAAATAATTTCTTCGTGGCATCGTGTATTTATAAAATGCAACGAATGCAACGAACTCACTCGCAATTCCCATCCGCAACGACAACCGAGGAGAGAGAGAAGTTGGTGGACGGAAGTTACGTCACGGAAGCAAAGAAAGACGCGAGGAACGAAGAAGAAAGGCAGGAGAGAAGAAGAGTTAGGAGGCAGAGAGAAGAGAATCCCCGGCTGGCATTGTTCACGGTGGGGGTCGACCTTAACCTTGGCCTTCACTCCAACCAGTCCCATCCTCTATCGCCACGCCCGCATTCGTACTTTCGACAATGTCAGCCCGGGGTCGCGAAATTATTCCGCGCTATCGTCGCATGCACGAACCGAGCCTACAAAAAAACCACCCGAGTAGAGAAAGAGGAAAAGAGAAAGAAAGAAAACATTTCATCGCGCGCAACACGATTGTCTGCAACACTACATTATGCAACGTGACCATTCTTCAGCTTCTTCGAGCGACGTCGCGCGTTGACCAAATTCGCGAAACCGTGGAAAACTGAGCCAGACATTTATTTTCGAATACTGGTTTGCGAATAAATTTTTGAAACGACGTTCTTTAGCATTATGTAGCAAATGATGTAGCTCGTTTTGGTCAATTGAAGGAAGTTGAAGCTAGGCAAATAATTGGGAAGATAATAAATTGAAGATCATTTGACTGATCATTTGAGAAAATAATATTTATTCGATAGTATGAAGATCTGTCTTTAAAGTTGCGTTCAAAATAAATATCGATAACATCAAGATGAAAGCAAATGAAAGAAATAATAATAATAATAATAATAATAATAATAATAATAGTCAATGGAAATCAAAATAATTTATTAGCGTGAGTTTCATCGCGGCAGAAACTAGTTTTAGAAATTTTAATACGACTCGTTCTTCGTACATTTGGTGGGTTAATGAACAAAATTTGGTGACGTGTGTTCAAGTTGCAAATGAGAATAATCTCCCTATTGATGGGCGAAGACGGAAGGAGATTATATTATATTTTACAAATGCTTGTTGCAAATATATGGAGCATATCTAAATTTCTTCTATCGTCATCAAAAAATCGAGGGATCTCTGTCTGTGTATAAGCGTAGTAACTATGCCATAGCCATAAAATTAATAGTAAATATAAAACGTTGAAACTAGAGAAATCAGTTGTTTCAAAATCAAATAACAAATAAAGATCCTGGCAAATAATAAATAATTTATTTCATGAAATAACAAATAAATCATTTAATTGGAAATGAATTAATTTCATTTTTATACTAATAATATAATTTTGTTACTCTGCAAATGGATCATTTCTGAAGCAACTTTAAAGAGTAATTTAAAAATAATATTATTTGACAATTTTTCAAAACACCTAAATCTGGGGAAGAGAAATATTCTCCTTGGAATATATTATCAGATCGTTCTTACGATTTAAGAGAAAAAAAAGAAAAAAAAAAAATATGTAGAGTTAGATGTAATTGTAGTTACAACGTATTGGGCGCGTGATTTCGAGACGATATTGTTTATCAGATTTCACGATGATACGTGTGATATTTTTCTGTTTATGTTTGAGCGGGAGGATTTTAACATGAAACGTGAAATGAGAATTTGTCGAGTCCAAAGATCTCTCCGGAAGATAGCTTAGTAAATTGTGGAAGAGCCGAAGACAAACGATGTTTCAAGAATCTCGAAAAGAATGAAAAAAAAACACGCGTTTATGTAAGCAACTTGAGATAAGAAGAGAATTTTCAGATTGATCGGAGTGCTTGTTA